CCTGTTTATTTGTGTTTTTTTAGGTTGCATCACATGTTCTGATGGACCTAGCAAAGAACCCTGTGGTTCTACCAACAATGCTTTCTCCTCTCGGGAAGGCTTGTGCAAGAATGGATCTTACTGCAGTGCACGACATTTTGCTGAAAACGGGGTATAAAGATGAAGAGGGGGCTGAGAATGAGGTGAGCTTAATTTCTTGCTTTATAACCTTAGCATTTTATCATTAGAGATCCCAAATCATCTTTTATGTTGGAATAACTAGGAACTATCACTAAAAATTTAAACATGATCTGTGAATTTAAAAATATGATTTTTTATAAACTTTTTGTTGTACATATATTTGGTGAAGCTTTCGTTCCAAGAATGGACCCAGCAAGTCCAAGATATGCTGAACACGAAAAAGTTTGGAGATATTGCATTCAGGGACAAGGATTTTAAGAGCGCAATCGAATACTATTCCAAGGTACATTTTCTACTATATATACATTATACAGTCTTGTCCATTTGAGATTGAATGATCGATTGGTAAGCATGTTTAAGTCTGATTTTTCTCAAATTATCACAAGAAAATTAAAAAAAAAAATATGAATCACTCAAATTAATCCATCCTTACAAAAGAACTCCGTTTACAAGTCAATAAATTTTTTTTTTGGAAAAACTAAGATTTGTTATTTTTACTTTTTTTTTTTGGTTATTGACTTGTATCATGACAAAGGGCAAAGCGGCATGTTTTGATCAAAATTGAATAATTTGTTCCCACGCAGCTGGTAGCAATGATGTCGGTACCTTCTGGGACAGTATTCGCGAGACGGGCTCTTTCCTACTTGATGATGGGCCAGCCCGAGCTGGCCCTTAGGGATGCCATGCAGGCCCAAGTTTGCCTGCCCGAGTGGCCCACAGCCTTCTACTTGCAGGCTCTTGCCCTATCTAAGCTGGGGATGGAGACAGATGCCCAAGACATGCTCAATGATGGAGCCTCCTTCGAGGCCAAGAAGCTAAACAGCTGGCGACATTAAGAAATTTACTCGAGAAAGTTAGACGCTCTAAGATGGGCAGTGTTTGGATGATCGAATTTATCGAAGAGTACATGTGATTCGAAAAGCTATATCACACATAAATGCTATGTATAAAATCAACTTTAACTAACTAGGCCTGTTTATGATTGGGTTTGTGCCTGCATGTGTGTTTTCTCGTCTCATGAGAAGTTTATCCTGTTTGGTTGTGAGCAGATTATGTATGTATCTTTGGGCCTGGATCCGGGTCGGATCTGACTTGGCCCGGAATTGGGCTCGAGTCCTTATTTTTTCCGGGCTTCTGGAATCTGTAACTTCGGTTTATCTGGGCACTCTTGATTGCTATTCTAGAGATTAACTTGACTATATGAAGAAATGTGGTTTGTCTTGAGTTTATTTAGTTCACCAATGTGGGAGCTTTCATTGAGATTTACAGGATGATTATTTTATATTTACTAATTACTATACAATAAATAAATATAGAGAGTCCTCTACTAAATCAATATAAGCCAAACAAAATTTATTGCAAACAGCCAGCTTGAAGAAGAGTAACCAATTACTAAAGTCACGATTTATAAATTTCAAATTAGCAAGGATACGAAACAAACTGTTAGGCAGCCTATTTGTTATCTTTGTTCTCGTGGATGTAAATTGATTTCACATTTGTGGCACAAATTGCACCAAAATTACACTTTACTTAATATTTTTGATAGTTTTTAAACCCGGCCCGGAAATCGATCATGGCAGGTCTCTGGGTCACCGTTTCAACCGCCGGGTCACCGGGTCAATTGATGATCCAGATAATTAAATTTAAATTTTTTTAATTTATATATATAGTATTTTTGACATATAAATATACATAAATATAACAAAAATAAATATTTTGCATATAAAATTTGTACATCAAAGTGTTAAAAGAATTATCTCACAATAAATATTTATTATATCAATATATTTAAATAATTTTTATTTTGTATAAAAAAAATTAAAAAAATAAAAAATATATAAGGACCGGGTCAACCGGGTCAATGTCGGGTTGGCCGGGTTTTGACCGGGTTCATTGTCACTCGGTCCAAATAACCTACCCGGACCGGTTTCGGGTCATCCGGGTCCCGGGTCGACCCGTCCGGGCCCATCAGGATTGAAAAGCAGTGATATTTTTACATTATTTCAATAAAAAAATAATAAAAAAAAAATGATAAGCCCGTGATAGTTAAAAGTAAAACATTTCTGAATGAAAATGTACATATTTGTTAAGAAAAGAAATTTACTGCGTAGAAATATTTTAATCTACCTAATAGCAACACTACTAAAATATAAGTATGCCAAATTAATCAACGATCTATTTGTGAATTGAATTGTTGCAACTTATATATAGAGCTGTTAAACAGATCGAGTCGTTTGTGCGCTTCACTCAACTCGTCAACTTAAGAATTCGAACCAGGCCCGAACTCGAGCATTTTGAATTTGATTTGACTCGTTTACAAACCATAAAAATCACTTGCAAAAAATTGTTAATTCTAACTGAAAATCCAACGATAATATATTCCAACGAAAATTTCAAAAGATAATTTAATGGTATAGCTTCTGTTGGAACGACTCCAACGAAAGTATTTCTTTGGAATATATTTTCTATTGGAATTTTAGATGAAATTTGATGATTGTAAATATTCCTTAGAAATGAGTTTCCTATTGGACTTTTGATTCCAACGGATATTTTTTCAACGGGTTTTTACCGTAGGATTTTCGTTGGAATTTTTATTTCCACCCTCGTTGGAAAATTTACTATTGGAATCATCAAAATTCAACGCAAATTCCAAAGGAAAACACATTTCAAAGGAACATTTTTTTGTTAAAATTTTCTTTGGAATCCATTAGAAATTTCTAACCAAAATAATCGCATTAGAATTAATTGAAATTGTCGTTGAAATTCTATTGAAATATATTTCTGTTGGAATTTTTCATTGGAATTTCATTATTTTTTTGTAGTGTATATAGTAGGAATATTATTAATAAAATGTGACAGTCTAACCGTTAAACATAATCGTTATACATGTGTTGTTGTATGAAATGTAACAAACCAAAGAATTGTATTCTACACAAAATACGTAGTTAAATTGGAACTAATAAGAATTTTTTATTGTTTTAATACGAATAGAAATTTGCTTGTAATTTTTGTGTATCTATACTAATATGAAAGACATTCTATTTACTAGAATTAGTAGTAAGAAAAATCAAAGGTAATTAATATATTCTATTTCCATCAAGTATTTTATTAATTATTTTAGTTAATTGTTTTATCTCATAACACCTTTTCAATACAATGTACCATGATTTTTCTATTGTGATTAAAAAAACAAATTTTACGTTTAAAATCTTGTGAAATAATTATTATTATTTTTATAACGCACATATTATTTGTTAAAAAATTATATATATAATAAACATCACAGTATCATGGTAGATGATTTAAATTTCAACCGACCAAAATGCCAATGATTTAAATTTCAACACACCTATACGTTTAACAAAATGTCTGGATGATTTAAAATTGAGCTCATAAAAAATTATTTAAATTTGAACACACCAAAAAGTTTATGTACTTTTTATTTATAAATATATTCAAAGTGGTATTTAGTGCTGTTATATAAACTATTTTAATATATTTGCAATGAATAAAAGTTTAAATGAATAATTTGTAATGTTATTCATAATGTTTGTAACTTATGAGACACGAACACATAACTCCATACATATTTGTCAGATGGCGGCTTAATAATTTTTTAGACTTAACGTTGATTAAAAGATGTAAAAAATAGATAATAACATTATTACTTTTTAGACTTAAACGGACAAAGCTGTGAAAATAACTCATTTAATATCTTTGTCTCGTGCATCGCACGGGGTATGTACTAGTATTTCATTAATAAGAAGAATATTCTATGGTCACTAATAAATGTTGCATCTCTTCCTTTTATAAAAAATTTGAGGTCTTTTCTAAAATCATTTTTTGAATTTTTATTTTCCAGATATCCTTAAGAACAATTTTGCTATGAAGCTAACAGTTGGCTCCACAGTAGAGCCAACCTTCTATATACAACAAAAAAAACTTATCATATTAATAATATAGTACATCAGCATTTAATGTTTAGTAATATGTTGATTGAATCCCAATACGAACGAGGCCTCAGGCCTTCGACTCATGTCCTAACAGATTCAACATCCTTGGATTGCCAACTGCCATGTCCCATCACATGTCAATGGATATCATACGGATAATCCATTCGTATAATTCGCATAATCCGAAAGTCCATCCACACCTATCATGTCTCTCTTGTTCGTCCCAACCGGCTGAAGGATGGGAATAATTCGTACCCGTTGCATAGTTGTGGACCGTCTTGCTCTTCCAATCCCCTTTGAGTACGAACTCGAATAAATCGCAATCGGCTCGGTTCGCAGATAAGCGATTCGGTCTGCACTTCGTACAACTTATTGTTTAACATTATGTATATGAAACATGCAAACCAATGCCCAAATATCATGAAGACCCTCAAAATATTTTGCAACTAATTTTTATGCTTAACAAACACAATCAATCTTAATATTTTCAAACTTCATTTTAATTTCGTCATTCCTAACCATCCCGTTTGTACTGCTTCATGAAACCATTTACACGTATCAATATATTTATCAAATGAAATAAATCCATTTCATATTAATTTCGAGCCATCCATTAATATTATTCATCAAATAAAAATAAGATATAAAAATATTGTGACATATGCTCCCTGTTTCTGGATATAGAAAGCCCACGATTACAAGTGAATTTACATTAATAACAAGTTATTAATTATGTTATACAACTATAGAATATAGTTGTATAGCTAACTTGTTAACACGATTAGAACACTAAAATACAATCAAAATCACGCACTAATTAATGATGATATATCTAAATAAATGTTTCATTAAATGTGTTGTTAATTGCGTACTGCCAACTGCAGACGTGTCCAAATTCTATTCGCTGTTTTGAAATGAATCTAGTGAGAATCTGTACGACAAATTTGCAGGCACTATAGTATTGATTGATGCTATATGGGTAATTAATAATTAGAGAATCAAATATTTTTAATGCATATGTATCCTTATACAATGAAACTAGTACAGAGCCCGTGCGATGCACGGGAATTTTAAGGTCATTTATCCATTCTTATAATTATATAAATGAATAAAAAAAATGTACGAAATATATATAGTATGTGACATGTAATAGGCCAAAATGTGAACACGGGTGATACACGAGGTGCACAATTTTTTAGTATGTGTAATAAAAATACATACTGTATGCACGGGACAAAAACACTAAATGAGTCATTTCCACAGAGCTTGCCCGTTAAGTAACTCCTGAACACGGGTGCACAATTTGTAGCACGTACCATAAAATCAGAACAGATTTCCATACAATTAGATAATAAATAAAGCCTTTTTATTTTAGTAAAGATTTTACGTACTTTGTTTTTTTTACTTATCAGATGTTATGGAATTTTTTTGTTAAACCGGTTTTATGGAATATAATACAAATAGAATTAGAGGATTTGAACAAAATCAGAACAGATTTTCATATACAATTAGATAATAAAAATGAATTAGATAAGGAAAAGAATGAATTAGATAAGAAAAAGAAGGAATTAGATAAGGAATTTTGAATCTGAATTTTTTTTTATAGATAGACTTTACGTACAAATTTTGACTTCACTCATTTTATGGAATTTTATTTTGACAAAATCAATGTTAATATGGAATAAGACAAATAAATAAAGTCTTTTTATTTTAGTAAAGATATTACGTCTTTTTTTTTTTACTTGTCATATGTTATGAGATTTTTTTTTCTTAAACTGATTTTATGGGATATAAGACAAATAAATAAAATAATTAAATAAAATTCTGGATAGAAATAGCAATGCATTAATTATGTTGACTTTTCAATCTACTAAATTTGGTAAATAGGATACCTTATATAATAAGTATAAATACAAATAAATAACATGCCAAAATTTTAAAGAATAATTAATGTATTTTAAATTATTATCTAGCATCAGTAATATCATTTAATGATGTGATCATTATCTCTTAAATGATAAATAAAATATTAATTGAAAAAAATATTTGTTTTTTATATACTCAAATAAAATTTAAAAAATACTATCGACAAATATGAATTATAATATATATAAGTAAAATCATTGCAGAAATTAATAAAATTATTTAAGGAAAGAATCTTTTTGATCATATTTGAATAGAAAATGTATATATGCAAGCAATTAATGCATATAGTAAAAAATTTCTAAATAAAGTATGCATTAAATGTGAGTTGACTTTTTTTGCTACTATTTTTAGTAAATAGTATGCCTTTTAACATAAGTATAGATGTAATATATACTTCTATTTAATTACTATCAATATATATATAATTGCTGGCATGTAGCATTTAATAAAACCTTTAAAATTTTCCCTCTATTTTCGGTTACAAAATTTGTTATTAATATTTTTTACTTCTCACATTAATACATCTTAATGAGTGTAATCATGTATGTTTCTATTATATTATATAATAATTATTGCTAATACCAACTAATAATAATTCACAATAAATATAAATTACATAATTTTAAACAATCGTTTGAAGTTATGTATTTTAACATCAATATATATATATATATATATATATATAATTGCTAGCTTAACATTTAATTTTACCTATTTAATAACACCTCTAAAATTTTTCATCTATTTTCAGTTACAAAATTTATCATTAATATTTTTTTACTTCTCACATTAACACATCCTATTAAGTGTAATCATGTATTTTTCTATTATATTATAGAATAGTTATTGCTAATACCAACTAATAATAATTTACAATGAATATCAATTACATAATTATAAACAATTGTTTAAAGTTATTTATATTAACATCAATATTTTCTTTTTCTTTTGTATCTCATGAAAAAATTTCTTTAAAAACAGTTATTAAATTGTTTTAATAACACAGTCAAACAACTTTAGAAGCTTATAAACAATTGTTTTTTATAATAATAATAATCAAACTGTTATTATCTAACGATAATGAATATTTTTTCATAAAAATAAAATCGTTAATTTATTTATCCTAATAATCAAATTCTACTAGTGATTTTTTAAAGTATATATAACAACTGAGTATACATTCTTATGAAATGTCGTGATTATGTGATTTTATAAGAATACGACATTTGAGGCTAACAGTGCATTTTTTTACAGAATTATATTTTTTCAACAGATATGTATTATTTGAAATTGAAATATCATACTTAAAAAAAATCATAAATCAAAATATAACATTTTTGTTGAACAAAATTAATAGTCAATCCGGTTGCCTAATGGTTAGTTTTTTATTTCACAACAAAAAAAAAAAAAAAAAAAAAAAAAAAAAATCGTGTATTATAAAAAGGCCATATATCTAACCATAGGAGAGACTAACAGAGTTAGATATACATTTATATAGATATATCTCATCAAGTTATGCTTCAATTCTCAACTATTAATGCTCATCCATTAGGCACAAAGACACGAGAAAAATGAACATTATTAAGAACTAATTTTGTGCTCTTTATATATCCATTTAGTTGAATTTGAACCCTTCATTGAAATCATATAATTGATCAAACATGGAGAAAGCTGAAAAGCTTTGCCAAGATGACGAGTACACGCTTGATGGAACAGTCGATCGCCATGGAAGGCCTGCAATTCGAGCAAGCAGTGGATCATGGTTTGCTGGTATTTTGTTACTAGGTAAAAATTAACCCAGAATTGATTAACCATCCTATATATAGTACATTTATGATCAAATGAAAGAAGAAAATGTATTTTCTTATTCTTCTAGAGATTATTATTATTAATTATATATTGTGGCTGCAACTTAGACTATTTGCATGGAGATAAATTGAATGTATATAACATGGTATACAATATATGTTGTGAATGTTTGGTTCAAAAAACTTTAAGTCTTAATTTATTGGGATAAAAATAGCTATATATCAAGACTAATTAAGCTCTTATGCAATTCTAAAGTTTTGGCCCAATATATATGTTAGGATTTCAGACATGTATATTGTAACTATTGAAACTATGTAAGCAAATAAATTTGACAAGTTATAATATGTTGTGTGCAGTGAACCAAGGCCTATGTACACTTGCATTCTATGGAGTTGGTGTGAATCTTGTATTGTTCCTCACACGAGTAATCGGGCAGGACAACTCTAGCGCCGCAAATGATGTCAGCAAATGGACCGGCACTGTCTACCTCTTCTCGCTATTGGGCGCCTTTCTTAGCGACTCTTATTGGGGACGATACAAAACTTGCGCCATTTTTCAAGCTATCTTTGTTGTCGTAAGTCGCACATTTATAGTTCATGTAAAAATTAACCGCATATAGTTATGATAAGAGGGAGTAACTGCATATACACTCCCAAAAAAAAAAATATCAAATTCCAACTAAAAATCCAATGATAAAACATTCTAATGAAATTTTCAACAGATAATGATATAGTTTTTGTTGCCAAATTTTCCATCGGAATTGTCAGAATCCAACGAAAGTTTCAATAGAAAATTATCCCAGCGAAATATTTTCGTTTGGAATATAGTTCTTTTACAATTTCGTTATTTTCTTGTAATGATATTTTCCCGTTAGACTCGGTCACAAGTTCCTTTGGTCCTTTTGAATGGATACTCCAATGATATAATTTATGTTGAAAAATTTACGAAATTGTCCTAATCCATCGAAAATTCCAATAGAAAATGTTTTGAAGTTTCTGTTTGGAATATGCTTGGAAATCCCCAAGGGAGAAAATTACATGGGAATATCTAAGCAGTTGGATTGATCTTTATGCTGAAATTTCAGTCATTTTCTTGTAACAATACTTTCCCGTTAGACTCTTCGACACA